TGTTAATTTAGATGGGTTTTTTTTGTACTAAGTCCTATTTTTCAACAAAAATACAGACATTTCCTAGATGCAACCCTGATCATAATCATATATTTCTTCATTTACAAAGATAATTATTTGAAGCATTATGTAATTTTTTCAGCATCATAATATTATATAAAGAAAAAATACATTCATTACTTTCACATTCTTTTCAGCCAGATCACTAGACATTTCCTCCTGTGTGGTTGTACCAGGCTACATCAAATATTTTAATGTTTTGTTCCCAAGTGATCTTATTGATTTCATAAAATGCAATGATTGGCCCTAATCTTTTATGGAAAATCTTTCATCTGGATAATAAGCTAGATTACCTATTATATACTGCTTGCACTTAGCATTACAATGACTTCACAAGATACTTGATTGTAGCTCATTCTTTAAGAAGTATGGTCTGCGACTGGCTTACATGATTTTAGCCTTTAGCAAATTTAAGACACCCAATTTATTTGCTTGTTGGAATTTTGTTGAAAGCTACTCAAAATTAACCATGCTAGCCATCCCTAATTTAAAAGTGAAAGACTAGAGAGAAGGCAGCTAATCAACACCACTCACCACCAACTCTTGGACTACTCTTTATCAATTAAAAGTAGGATTGACCATCACAATATAATGCCTACACAGCTGAAATGGCAAACAATGTCAATGATGGAATTTAAGTTGGTGATTCACTGATTACATATTGAGTGCTCTAACGACCAGGCCATGTCAGGTGATAATTAGTTAAACTCCAGACTCAGTAATTGTGTTAAAGTAACTGAAGTCATTTCAGATAGTAAAGCAATTATCATCTTGGAAAAGCTCATGTTCATTCAGGTGGAAATGCAGCAATGATTATGGATAGGTCCTATACTGCAAAAATATTGATTAATATTCTAAATACTGTTCACGCTTGTAATGGAACCAAAAGATTCAACCTCTGCCACAAGAATATTATTTATGGATATTGATGTAGACTCGAAAAAGCAGTGTCCTTTTATTTTTTCACACGCTTTCATAATTTTCAAAACTGAGGTTTTCTGAAAGCTTAGAATAACTTAAATATCACATCAACTGCACAACAACTATTATTGTTATAATAATGTGGTAATTTCAGGGTTAAACCTAGCACAAAGTTATGTGCATTGACTAGAGATTTGAGGACCTAGTATTTAGGAGGATAGGTGTACTGATTTGTTTTATGTGGAAGATACAAGACTTAGTGAGAAGGCAGATTAACAAACAAGCACTTCATTCACAAAAAACAACAACTAAAAAATGTATGTTGTCCATGCTAGTGGTTAGACTAAATACCAGCAAGCACTGACAGCTTCAAGTTTGAAAACTGCCAAAACTGCATTCAAAAAACTAGATTACAAGAATCCAAAGGTATCTCTGCTCCTTGTGACTGTTGTAAAGCAGTCCTTCTGTTTTTTTACATGTATAAATGTTTTCTGAAGACTAGATACTGAAGGAGACAAGTGGCAGCTCAACTCTTGATTTTATGTGGCTTAATTTCAATCAAACTGAAACAACTTATGGTATCAAATGTTCCAGCCAAAGAGTGATTGTAAAAACACCACAGAATCTGGAAGTATGCTGCTTACCTGTTGGAGGGATGTCAGAAGTGAAGACACCACTGTAGTGAGTTCTGGGGTCACTTCTGACAAGACCTCAGATTAAAAAAGCTAAAAAACAATCTATTAAGGATAAAAACAATCTCAAAGGCATCAATGAGCCTGTAAAAGGAATCTTGTTCAAAGGGAATAGTGTTAGATTCTCCAAAGACTGTGGTCTCTGTGAGAAGTTGGAAGCTTATGGAGACCTGAAGAACCACTACCACTTCAACACCTATGACATCACTGATGAGATGCTTAGATTCTCAGGAGTTAGAGAAAGAACTCTCAAGTAACATTCTGGAGGAATATGACTCCAGCACGGATGTAGTGGATTACTGCCTGGTAGTTCACCTTCTAGATAGAAGATTAGTGAAAGTTGGAGGAATAAGGTTACTCCAGAATAGCTGAGGAACTCTACCTAATTGAGGCAGCATTTGCAAAATTTAAACAGAAGTTAGACAGGGCCACTGAGGTAATTTAACAAGAATGTAAGAGAATGAAAGAAATTAACAATAACTCTGGATGATCTGCTACTCAGACTCAAGTTCTCCTTTTTTTTTGCATTACTGAACTTTTTCCTTCTGATATCAAAATTTGTAAATATAAATCTACATTAATCAAAAGTAGTTAAAGGGTTCTATATCATGATTTACTTTAAAGGGTCATATTTTGGTCTCTATGATCATGTTACAATGAAAAAAAGGGTTTGCTATTATGTTAATTTTATTTCTCACTTACTTTATATGTTTTTTTATTATTGTAAGATTTGGTTTAAAATGATAGTTTGCTTTCGATAAATACATGTGGTAATTTCTTTTATTTTTTTGTAATATACACTGTCAGCAGGTAAGTTTTTCCCCTTCTTTCAAGTACTACATTTCATTCTATGTTTCCCTCAATGTCTATACCTCTCTTGCTTCATGTTTATTTTAATAAAGGGTTTGTTTTGTCTTTTAATTATGTATTATATCTTAAATAAAGGATTAATTTCCTGATATAAATATATATATATGTATCTAACGTGTGCATGCATGTATGTGTGTGTATATATATATATATATATATATATAAATGGTTTTAATTTTTTGATTTTGATTTTAAAAGGTATATTTTTGTTATTTGGATTTTTTAAATTTCTTTTGCTACATGTTACATTTTAAGTTGGCTGTTTTTGTGAGTCTTGTATAGAGATGATTGGTAAATTACAGTGTTATGCATCCTGTTCCACTTTGTGGAGTCTAGGTCTAGTTTTTCAAGGGTTGTGATTTTCTATACAGCTTCTCAAAATCATGTTGTAACTATCAAACTAGTATTGTAGTTAACTTATAGTCAACTTGAGGACTAGCCTAAGGTAAGGGAGAAGAAGGGTGTACTATGCAAATGCTACATAAATTTACTTTCCTGTAGTGCATATTTAGTATTGGTAAAATTTTAAAAACTTTCTAAGATCTGTTTCAGAACATACTAGATCCAGTTGAGGTTATTTGCTAAATCAAGAATATAAATGTTAGTTTCTGTAGGAACATGTTTACTGTCTCATGAAGTATTTTTATTGTATCCTGAAAGTAATCCATGGAATAACATCATCTTAAGAACTAAAGTTGTGTTTTCTTCACACAATGAAAAATAAAAAGTTAATAAAAATGTCACAAACATAATATGTCCATCAGTGAACATGAATTTCAAAACATGCTCACAATTACTGACACTTTGCCAAGCATTTCAGGTTATCTAGCTGTCTCCATAAACTGTTTCTACAAATTACATTTGTGTAAATAACATAAAATATCTGAGATACTAAACAAAGGGTAAATTATAACTGTGAAATTTCACCCAATGGTTGAAAAGTAGGAGTCACAATTTCTTTAAGTTTAGAAATGTTTTCAAACCTCTAACAATTACCTCTAGTTGCAGAAATTGTTGATATTTTATGTATTACATATACTAACACTGGATGTAAACTATTGAAACCTAGTGAATTTCAAACAATATA